TAAAAGTAAAGGTCCTTGTAGGGGCTTTAAATAGACAAAATAATTGAGAAATGAATGTGGAAATGAATCTGCAAATAATGAAAATGACTGTTACAGTGGTTACTGAGCTACCACATTTAAAATACAGCAGGTTATGAAAGCCCAGTCAACAACTGAGCATCATCAAACAAAATCATAAAACCTGCTACCAACAGAGCATATTCTCAATGTATATATGAATCATAACATCCTGATGGGAAAAGCCACTACTAAAGCTTGAGTCATATGCTCCAGTGCCACTCATTGCACACTGGGGCAGCGAATTATATGATACAAGACCATCACAACCTGGGCGATGCTGCAATATGATATGTTGCAGGAAAATCTTCAACAAAGCATCATCTTACCTGTGTAACCGAAGAGAGAAATATACTACTAAAAAGGCAAAGGAGGAGTAGTATAGTTGTCAACTCTAATATAAAGAGTTTTTATCTTTAAAAGAGTTTCATAGACAGCTGAGATGAGAGTGTACCAAAGGGAAAACAGTCTGAACACTGTGCCATCAGTGTCAAACAGCCATAAACTGACAGAAGGTCAAAAACCGAACGTTTCAGAGTGAAATAAAAGTAAAACACTTCTGCCAGAGTAGCACAATAGATAATATCACAATAATGATGCCTGATCACCAATATTGTATCACAAGAGATCATTCTAATCATTATTTAACTGCAGCAGTCATCCATTGTTGTATATGCCCAAATCACCTCCACAGCCAGAACAAACAACTTTTGGTTGCTGCACGCTTTTCATTAAATAAGCCAGTTTATTTCCAATCAACAATCCGCCTAATAAACTTATTGACCTCTGTTTCACAGGAAATTCACACAGGACACTGTATTCATTCACACAAAATAATGCATAATCATTTCATACAATTTCATCATGCACAACAACATTTCTACAGGAACACACAACACTGTAGTTGAGCACTTAACAAATCAACTTCGATCTACAAGGGATTCTCATATATTAATGATGAAACCAACGACTACAGATTCTGTATAATCACATGGATATTTTAAGTTTTGGTTTAGTTAAATGTAACCTGACTGGGTAGCTATTAAGATTATAGAGCAGTTGATATTTCCTTCCAAGCTGCACACATAATATTTTCACGTGTTAAAGGACCAGTGCGTAGGATTTAATGGCCTCTGGCCGCAACCAACTGAATACTGCTCGCCTTCCTAGCGTGTGGCAGCAAAACTTGCAAAAGTCCCTAACTAGAGTCAGTGTTGTGTTTCTCCATTCTGGGTTACTGTAGAAACATGGTGGCTTAACATGGCAGACTCCATAGATGAGGTCCCGCTCCCTCTGTAGATAAAAAGTCAGAAGTTTCAATATAATGAATATTAATATATATAACTTTAGTTGTTTTTAATGGATCTTGGCTTTAATTATTTATTGTGAAGCTGCCAGGGAAAGGTTGCATTTTGTGTGTGTGTGTGTGTGTGTGTGTGTGTGTGTGTGTGTGTGTGTGTGTGTGTGTGTGTGTGTGTGTGAGGGAGGAGAGGATAAGTATCTAGTATTCTATCAAAGTAGTTGCCATTCGTACTGGCCTTCTGCCCATTCTCAAATAGGTCAGAAGATGTTACACATTTCTTAGTAAAGACTGTTTCAAGCTGGTCTTTTAGAGAAGAGAACAAGCTGGCAGAAATACAGCAGGAAAAGGAGCTGTGCACATGTCAGCCTATTATTAGCAATCCTGTGCCTAGGCTGTTTTGGACAAGTACCATGCTATTGTCTTGACTAGATACACTAACCATTATAGACCTAAACAGACCAGACGCACTGTGTAACATTATGCAAAGAATAATATTTTATATAGATTTTAAACTAATAGCAGTTCTATTATTGTATCACATGCAATTATAACTTTTTTTCCCTTCACTTGCTTCACATAGATCTTAAACAATAGTAATTTATTTAAAAGAAAAACTAAATACAAAATACACTAACTAACATCCAAATAAATGCTGCTTGTAAGGCCGATGTAACTAGAGAAGCAACACTGACTAAGCAAAGATACAGTACACTTAAACTGGGGATTAAGGCTTCAGACTCCCTAGACTAATTACACCTTGCAGAAATGTGATTAGTGAGAGCAGTCACAGTAAGCAGAGCACAGACACAGACATGGAGTTCAAGTATGAGCACAAGCTCTGCAGCAAACAAAATTGACAAAAAGATGCTTAGACACACAGGCAGCCTGGCACAGAGCGTTACTGACTGAACCTGCGGATGGACATGTAATGGAAACCATCATGTGGTTGAATGAGAGAGAGCATCAGTGTTTGATCCAGGTTATTACCCAAAATGTCCCAGTAATGACAGCAAGGAAAGAAACACAACTCCACAGAGCTCGTGGACACTTGACTTTGAACTTTTAAATCTATTTAGACTATTTTCATCACATTGTTTGCTATATAAGTGGCAGAGATAACACCCTAAATTCGAAGGATGAATGACGGGACGTATGAATTGATAATAAGTGTAATAAAGATGTGTATCTCAAAGGGTAAAAAACAAAGTTAAACTAATAACTATGAATATATACTGGTGTTATGATTAAGTCCAGAAGATTATTTTCTTCCCTAACAGAGATATTTGTGCTGTTTCCTTCCACAATGAATATTAATGACAAAAAACTAATTGCTCTCACAGCTTCCATGACTACTCACAACTTCATTATAGGATATACGAAACATCACTGGAGATTTTTGGGGATTCTGACGTGCTTCAAAAACACCAGAGCTTTCTCATTTTCATTTTTTTAGTATTGTAACATCACAGTCTGACTCACTGAGCATCATTCATTATTGACCTATAATAAATAATAATTAAAATAAAAAAAATAAAAATTATACAAGCTGACACCTATTGAGGGAAGGACCCAAAGAAACATTTTAATTTATCCATTATTGAATGATTTTTTTTACCCTATTAATCATCAGTTAAGACAAACACTAGACTGTCCTTTAAACCCTCACAGACGCACTCTGCAAGAGAAGAAAAAAAAATCACATTAAAATAAATAAATAAATAAATCTATTTAAAGTTTGATAGGCTACTATATGTAACTTAACCATCTGCACCCATCGTCCTGGACAACCTACGCATTTCTAAGTGCAGAGGTGACGGCCCTACTCAAACAAGGACTGAGCTCAGTGTGTGCTCAAAGGGGGGGACCGAGCCAAAGTAGCTGCATCACTGAAGACCCAGACGGGTATAACTGCAACGGACTGAAGCAGAGATCAAAGCCCCCACAATACCCGGGACACCCGACAAACCTGCGGATGAGCGCACGGAATAGAGGAAGGACACATTGCCATATGCGGATAGTCGAATCCACAAAAAACATTGCAGAAATTACAAACAAAAGTAGAAGCATCGCACCGCACCGCATCCGGCTCAGTCTGCGCTGCGCACACGCCATGTCGGGTAGAGAGAAGACATCCTTGTTGTGCCTACCTCACTCAGTGTCTCCATCCCACTCTGACTTGTGGTCCTGATGATACGCTACTGCTTTTTGCTCCAGCATCCCAAAGCACTGTTATTTTCACCAGGAGGGGCAAACATGATGGTAGTGGAACCGGGTTGACGTACCGCACTGACGAGGCGCAGCCGACCAATCGGAGCGTAATCCGATAGACTCCACACCAATCCGCTCAAAGGGAGAAAATGAGGACTGCACGCAGGCTGTAGTAGCAAGGTAGATTGACGCTGTGGGAGAATTTCCAGTCAACTCCTGCAAACTGTTTCCAGACCAGACCTGGTTAGATCCTGTCCTCTCCCCATCCACACACAGAATAGTTGAGTGGGTGAAACAAGTCCATGCTGAGATGTTTGATTGTTTAAGTTATATCATAGTTTATTCTAAAACATGTAGGGCCCCTTGAAGCTTGCAGGAATTTCTCCACTATTTTACATTACATTATTTACAGTAGAAGTTCTTGTGTTAGTGTGATTGTTATGAGTAATGTGAGTGTCTATATTCACCATGTAAGCTGTGTGGACCTCGGGGAGAATAGCTTCTGCTTAACAGCAGCTATCTTAGGGATCTTAATAAAGAAGCAAACAAACTATTAATACATTTAAGATTAAAAGGTTCTATATATCTAATGCTCATTATACAAATAAGTATGATATGAATAAGAGTAAAACTAAAAATTTGAAAAATAATTCAACTTAAAAGATTTGAAAATATATATAAAAGTATTCAAATGCTAAAGCGTACAGTATATTTGTGTATTGTAATTGGGCTGTGCAATGTTTCAGTATATACTATACATTATTTTATTTAATAAGTATATATGTTGCAGCTGTACCGCACAATAACCTATATATATATATATATATATATATATATATATATATATATATAAGTCCCTACTTTAGCTTATTCAGAGCCTTAACTTACATTTTTTTACTTTTAATATACTTCTTCACACATTAACATACCATCCATTTTATATAAAGTACAAGTATATCTACAGTCTCGCAGTTTTATAGCTGGTCAAAGCCAGCAAACGGTGCGCTAAGCTCGTGGACGTCCACATTGAGGAGCAGTAAGAGGATGAGTAACCACATTTGGTCATAAGCTTATTTTAGACTGACTGTAAAATGTATCTAAGACATGTACTATATCCTCTGCTGCTGTATCACACTGCGTTCAAGCTGTCCCTCATCTGCCTTCCTATTTCTCCCCACATGGAAATGGTTTCCATGTCCACTGAAGGAACACCTGCGGTTTGAGCTCCAAAATCCCCTCCAGGGTGGGGATAGCTTCTAAAGGAGATTAGACTGATGGTGTGAAAGGGATCCGCTGACCTGCCCCTGTCTCCTGTAGGCTGCTTCAACCAGACACACACCTGACAGGCTCTGTGACAGCGCTTCTGCTTTGTGTTTGATTTGGATGAAAGAACAAGATTTCATAGAGATGTTCAAACAGACAAGTGAAACAATTAAATTCAATATTTTATTGCCCTTTAGATCAGCAATAAAGTAAGTGAACCAGCCTGACAGCATAACAGTATCAGGAATTTTCTTGTACAAAGCAAGGTATAACCATCTAATCTAAAAAATAAAATTCTTCATTCAAAAATATTTGTTGTTCAAAATAGGATACAAATGTCCAAAACAAACATGATTATCACCAATTCACTTGTTTATATTATATACTTTCAATATTATAAATAAAATAATTCCAAGATGCTTTTATGTAGTAGTCTGCACACCAGGTGCTAAAAAAAGGCAAATGCAAAAATGTTGATATGCTGAAAGATAAAAGCCCTGACAAAATAATACACAGACTGAAACTATTTCCATGAATCGGCATACAGTAGCAAAACAATTGAGTGAATTGTACAATAAACCCATTTATTTTAGAAAAAAATAAAAGGGATGAAACAGAAACTGGACCGAATTGTATTTGAAAGTCACTCATGGGTTTTTTATGGAGCTATTTGCAAGAGCAGCGGGAATTGTAAGGTTTAGACCAAATGTTTTCAGAGTCTCAGACGGTGGGCCTCCCCTCAGACAAATTGTGGAAAAAGGCTCCCTCTCCCCCTCCCCTTAGTCTACCTGTTTAGTTTTGCTCAATTCCTGGATGCCTATGGTATTATGATTGTTATCTGATCCCATAGACACTCAACAATTGAGATAATATTGCTGTTTGACACAATTTCAGATTACACCAAATACATTTTTACACACACATTTAGGCTATTCTATGTGATCTTCTTTTGATCGTGTAATATTTTTCAGCTCCATTCACCGAGCCTCCCCTGAAACAGCTCAGAGCCCCCCTGGGGAGGCCCGCCTCCCACTTTGAAAACCTCTGGTTTAGACTAAACCTGACTAATCCTATGACCCAGAAATGTAGATTAAAAAAAAATATTGAGGTTTATTTTCAATTGCTTTTTATTTGATTCATATTTTAAATTTGTCATGCGACTGTTTGTAGCTATAATGCGTTTAACTAACTACAAGGCATATAACAATTGTTACTGCAGTTAAAACAGATCTTTTTTCTTTCTAATTTGATTTGATTTTGTGTGTCAAATTAACAAATGGTACATCAGCATGAAGTAAAAATAAAATGCAGTGAATGAAAAATTACACATGGGATAAGCCTGTCAGTTCAAGGCACACTGCTATGTCTACATCCACCTTCCACACTTTTCCCACATCTATCTCTCTAGTACTTACTATGACATTTACAACCTGCTTTTCCACTTGCACACCATTTACAAGTATATACACGACACATTTCCTTTCATATCCTTACTTTTCACGTTCCCTGTTAAATCACTTAACTGCATGACCTTCAACCAAACCTTAACCTTCTTAACTGAACCAACTTTCTTCTCTGTTTTTCTTTGACTAAAATGTGTAGTTGGGCGACTTTATTTCAAAGGACACTTTTGGGAACAGCCTTTCTGTGTTGGTGTCTGGGTGACGTTGGGGAGCTGTCTGGAGGGGGCCACTGTGGTTTAGTTAGCTGAATGTCTTCCTCTATTTTAAAGGCTTTCTTTGGGGAGTCGGCCTGTGGGGGCCAAACTACAGATATTTTGTTGCTGTGTGGTTTGCGTTCATCCCACGTTTTTGTCATTTCGTTTTCACCAGTGTGTGTTTTGTCGACTGAACTTAGACTGCTCATGGAATATCTATATTCAAGTTTCTCGTCTGAGGGGACAGGTCCACCACTTCCTGCGGGAGGTTTCTGCCCAAGTTCATTATCATAGCTTCCTTTGGACTTGAGGAGTTGTTTGTAATGGTGAAGACAGTAGAAATGTCCATGGAGAGAGACGTAATTTCCTAGGCTGCAAGAGAAGAGAAGATTCTTGTACCACATCAAAATTGTTTGAATAATTATGTAATTAAAACACTGATGCATTTCCTGATTAATATTGCAATGTTCAAAAGTGCCCATGGTGCCCGATTTATTTGAATAAACATTTACCTTAATTTATTTCTGCAGTGCTCACAGCAGAAACAGGATTTATGGTACTTTTTTTTGTCCACTATCAGAGCATCCATCGGATAAGTTCTCCTCCGACATACTGTGCAGAGCTCTGACTTCGGAACTCGAACCTGTTTGAAAGAGACAATATTCAAATCACTAGGTCTTCTTTTCATTTTTCCCACATGATGAGAATTTCCTTTGGGCTGCTTTACAACGACTACGGCTTTTCTTAAATTTTTTAAAATGATGGTTAATGTTGTAAGTTCAACGCTATACAATAGATAACGCTTGCATTAAAAAAATACATGCTCATTCGTTTGATTAAAACATTTACAATGGTAATGAAAGCGAAAGATTAAGTGTCTTCAGTGGATTATATTTTATTCTTTCACCTACACACATGCATGCAAAGATATCCATGCATCTATCAACTGCGCTCTGGCAGTGTTTGTGAGCACCACAAATAAACTGTCATCCAGTTCAGTGCAAGCCCTCAGCCAGCATATATACTGTAATTTTCCTGTTGGAAGGGTGCATTATATGCTGGCTTTATCCTAGTCAGCTAATGGACAGCCTCTTGAAAATATAGTACGGCTGCAGTGCTTATTATGACCAATTGGATCAATTATGTTTAGAATTACATCATCCTTATTACAAGCCATCTACAAAAAGCTCAAAATACTTTCCAGAGCTTTCGATGTTGGTCATAAAAGAGAGGAAGTTTATAACCATTGTTTCTATTACAGCATGTAAATCCGTATTCAGTGACAAAGACCATCCTAAAAAGCTCTGTGACAACTCAGCAAACTATAGACTGATGAAAACCATTAAATGTGGTTTTAGAGCTTCAGAAAAGTAATCAATAAAATAAGTCTGAGGATAAGATTATTCTGTCAAACTGCTGTTAACTAAAACTAGATAGCAACATGGATCTATGAATCGATCTAGACTGAAATATCTCAAATACTATTGGATGGATTGCCATGAAATTTGGCACAGACATTTCAGTCTATTTGGTGCACCCTTTAATCATTTTTTATTTGTCCAATAGTTGAAAAATGAATGACATTTCCATCAGCCTCAATTGTACTTTAGCAATAATTAGTAAATGTTAAAGAAACAAAGAAGAATTACCTGCTAAACAGTATGTAATCAATGCCATTGTGAGCATGTTATCACACTAATGTTCCCATTTAGTACAAAGCACTGCTTACAGTCAGTAAATATACACAGAGATGCCACCATGGCTGTTGGTTATTATATAATAATAAACTACATAATAACACTTATATTTTATAATACACAGCATACACAAGACATACAGTGTAGTCATTAGAAATGTTGCATCCATCCATAGTCCATGCCATTAGTATCTGTTGTTTCATGCTGTAGGTCTTTACCAGATGAGACAGTCTTCGTCTGGTGTGACACAACTTGTGATGTTGTCTCCTCAGAAACAGTGTAGCCAAGACTCTTGAAAACTGTTTCACTCTCTGTCCATGTTTTGTGGAAATTCCTCAGCAAGTTCTCAGTAGCATCTTCCTCGTAGGTTTCTGTTTGTCTCGCTGCTGCGGCTTTTCTTTTGACTGCATCAGCATAGGAAAAAGGAACCTGCTGGGTTGACACACTCTCAGAGTGCTCAGTGACAGCTGTTCTTGTTCCAGTGACCGTGTTACCAAACTCATCAACATTTGAGAAATGTTCTGTGATTGATTTGGTTTCAGAGAAGGCTGGTGGTTCTGTTGGCACAGTTTCTACCTCATTTTTCTGTGGCGGGAGGGGGGTGCTCTTCCGTGAGCCTCCCTTTGTCTCCTGAGGACCTTCCCGCTTTGAAGTGTCTGCTGTTGTTTCACTCAGGCTTGACACAGACTCCTCCTGATCCTTTTTCTCCTCTCTGAATGAGAAACTTTCCTCACCCAGTTCAAAAACATTTTTAATAGCCTGAATGTCAAAAGTTGGCATTTCCTCTTCCAAAATGTCTGCTTTCTCTTTGTCACAATCTGGGGTTTCATCGCCATTGTGAAGCCAGTCTGTGAGTGGGATAAGCTCTTTTCTGAAATATGATTTCTCTTCTGGTGATTCGAATTTGTTTACAAGACTAGACATGTCCGCCCTGGGAAGCTCATCCTTTTCTTTGTTCTTATTTTCTGTCTCACACTCCTCCATGTCTGGGCCCAGTCGTTCAGGGATAGCAATTGGCTCCTTTCGCATATACGTCTTATTAATTTCAGCCTTTTGAGCCTCTTCAAAAAACTCTCTCCTTTCTCTAACAGATGCAGATGATGACTCTGATATATCTGCAGCTTCCACAAGATCTGGGTCATTTTGACACAAAGGCATGTGGGTCTCAGACGTGCTCTGTATTTCATTTGCATTCAAACCCTCCTCTTCTACATGCGCAGAATTTACATCAGCCTGCTGAGCATCCCCAGAAACACTCTTTTTAGGCTTTTCTGTTGCAACCAATGCCCCTGTGGCCTCCAGAAGCTGGGACTCAATTTTGATTTGCCGATGGAATGTTGCAGGCGATTCCACAATCTCTGATTTCTTCTCTGAGATTTGTTGGGGAAGCAGTGGCGGTGGGGTGACGCCACGTGAGAGCTTGGCGGTCGTGTCTTTGAGTCGAGCCAAGTTTTCTGCCCTGTCAAAAGTTGGAGAAGGTGTGATTCTAGTGAGGCGTGATGTCGGGGTGTCACACCTGCGCGGGGGCGGTGTGGGAGGTGTGGGTGGTCTGTGCAGCAGGGTAGGTGATGGAGTAACTCTCTGGGGTGAGTCAGTTCTTCGTGTTGATTCGATGGTGATAAACGACGGAGAGGGAGAACGCATTTTAAGTGACGGCGATGGAGCCCGAAGGTCAACAGACTTGCTCTGACTCACTTCTTCTTTCCTTCTTTCATGGGAGGTCTTTTTCCTTGTTTGGTGTTCAATTTTTGCAGAACCAATACTGATCTTTGATATTCTGGGTGTTGCCCCTCCCGAAACAGATTTCTCAGAAACCTGCTCACATTCATGCTTCTCCATTGTCTCATTATCTTCTAGAGCTTCACTTTCCACAACAAATCCCTCCAATTCACATTTCCTTTCCGGCCTCATGTCCCAATCTGTAACTGTATTTAGCAGAGTCTTTACAGATTCAGAATCAGTCTTTTCTGAACCTCTTTGTGTCTCTGTGATGTGAGAGATTAATACCTGGACCTCTTGCCTCTGAGATTCTTCTGTTCTCCCTGTTGTGGTCTTTACCAGTTCATTTTGTTCTGATTTGCCTGTCACTGTTATTGGGACATCCCTACTTTCTACTGGTGGTTCCTCTGCGCTCTGCTGAGTAACTTCTTTCTTCTTTTGTGATCCCTTAACATGCTTTTGAACTGCCTTTTGATGCTGGGAATTCTGATCATCTTTGCTTTCTGTGGTAATGACTTCTCTCTTGACTTGAATGTGCTCTTCTTTTATACTTTTGTGAGTTTGAGCGGAGTTTTCAGATGTTGCTGTCTTGATTTCTATAATGTCTGTCTTTGAGTCTGTGAAAATATCTTTACCTTGACCTGGCTGTGCACCCCCTTTAGACTTTTTGGACCTCTTTTTCTTCTTTGCTGGAGTTGGAGTTTCTTGTTGGCTGTCAGTTATGCTAACAGTAACAGCAGGTGCAGAGGCAGCAGCAGGAGAGGGAGTAACACTCTTAATCCCCTGCTTTAACTCTGTCTTTACTTCTTTAGATTCACTGATCACTTTCACCTCAGTAGCAGCCTTAACTTCCACCTTGACATCTTGTGAAACAGTCTGTTTCTCACTTTCAACTTGCTTTTCTTGCTTATTGTTCTTTTTCACCTTTTGGTTTTGTTTGCCTGTTTTTCCACTTGTATTGGCAGCTGCCTTTTCTGTTTGTGCTGGCTGACCAGAAACTTTCTCTTGGCTCTTGGTAGGAGAATGATCAGTTTTCTTCTTGTTACCACGCTGTGGTGATTTGGACTCTGCAACATTTTTGTCTGAAGTGACATTTTCTATTTTGCGGGACTGATTGCGAAGGTTATTGGGTAATTCAGGTTCTGTGTTATCTTTTGTCTTCTTGTTTTCCTGTGATTTGCTTGATTTTACATTCTTCTCAGTAGCGACAGCAGATTCAAGCTTTACTATTTTAACAGGAATTTTATCAGAATGCATTTCATCTTCCTTTTTATCTTCAGACTTGTTGGAGCCCTTTGTTTTCTGATTTTTAGTATCTTTCTTTCTATCAGACATCATATTTTCTGTTTTTTCAACATCAGCGATTGAGGTCTGGACTTTGTCAGCCATGAAAGACTGAGCTGAATGCTTGGAGGAAACAGAAACTGTTTTCTGTGTTGTCGTATGCATCTGCTGTCTAACAGATGTGGTCTTTTGAACTGAGACAACCTTGGAAGACTCATTAGAGACGATTTGCTGTTTAGCAGAAGATATAATTGTTGAATCTGTGAGGAATTTCTCATGACTAGCGCTGACATTGCTCTGGGTGGTATTTGAGACTACAACGTGCTTGGATAAATCACATGATCGGGAGTCTGACTGAACATTCAAGGCCGTCTTTTCAGCTTTCTGTAGTTTCAATTCTGATGTGTTGTTAGTTGACTGCTCTGTGTCTTTAGTGGAAAGCATTTCGAGAGCAGCTGTGACTGAGTCATGTATGTAAGTGGGTGTTGGAGTGGTTGGGGGTGTGTTTTCCTCCTTCAGCTTCCGGTACCTTTCTTCTGATTTTATTAATGCAGTATTAAATTTACTCATTGGCCCTCTCATGAAAGGCGGAGGAGAGGGTGGAGGGGTGAATGTAACAGGAGAATTATAAACTTTCTTTAGTGGTTGTGGTGACTCAGGTGGTGGAAGGATATCACATGAGACAGTGTTTGATGTATGTGTTGTTTTCGATTGGTTTTGGCTCATTTTGACCACTTTCTCGGATGTAACCTCCACCTGTTGGGTTTTACTGATTTCCACTTTAGGCTCCAGCTTCGGGACCGGGTGTAAAGTGGGACCTTTTACTTTTTTAACCGTCATCTTTTTTGCTTTTGCCGGTGAAGGATGAATTGCCTGTGCTGGCATGCTCTCCAGTTCTTGTTGAGATGGAGGAGGCGGGAGGAAGTCCTGCTCACTGGTGAGTGGTGGTGGTGGAGGAGGAAGGTGATCAATGTCAGAATCAACAGAGGGAGGAGGAGGAGGAGGAAGGTCAGCATCTACCACTGGTGGAGGTGGAGGTGGAAGAGGCAGATCAGGCTCTGGCACTTGTGGTTTTTGGATGTAAACAGTTTTTACTTTGGTTTTATCAACCTTTATCATTCCTTTTGGGTTAGACTTTAGATTACGAAACTCTGTCTTTAATGTTTTGATGCCGTGATTTTGGGTAATCGTTTTATGCTCCACTACGGTTGTTGATTGCTGAGCAGACTGCTCCACAGACTTTGTTTTCACTATTTCAGTTTCATTAGTGATGGAGTGATTTTCTTTTGATGTTTCTGTTAAATTAGCTGTTTTTATCTTTTGTATGTTCCTCTGTGCATCAAGAGTTAAGTTTTTAACTGGAGGGCTCTGCTTGACTCGAACTCTTCTGTATGCGCCAAGTTTGACTTTAGGAGTTTCGCGCTGTGCTGTTTCCAACAAAGATTTAATAGTGCCTTTAACATCTCCCTTTATCACTTCTTCTTTCTCCAGCTGGACTTGCTCCTGCGTCTCATACAATGACTTTATTGACATCTTGACATCACCCTTTATTTCACGCTCGAGGCTTGGGCTCCTTTCCATCCTTGGGGAAGGTGGAGACTCCATTAAGAGCTGAATTGTTCCTCTGACGTCTCCCTGAACATCTGTTCCCTGTTGACACTTTCTCTTCTCACTGGAGGCATCTTGTAGACTTTGCATTGCTATGCGAATATCACCCCTTACAATTTCTTCCTTTTCAACTTCCTTCACTGCTTGCTTTGCCAGCTCCAGAGATTTTAGTGTGGCCTTCACATCTCCAGCAACTAAATCTTCAACAACAGCTTCAGCTCTGGATGTTGCAGATTTCTCGAGAGATCTCAGAGCCCCTTTGATATTTCCTGGTATGATATCTGTCTTCCTCACCTCCTTGTACTGCTTTTGAGCCCTCTTTAAGCACCGCAAGGCTTTCGGTATGTTGCCTTTCACTACCTCCTCTTTCTCTACAACAACTGCCTGATTTGCTGATACAGACAATGAATTCAAAGCAGCTCTTAAATCACCTTTGACTATCTCCTCCTTTTGGACTCTTTCCAATGAATTGCTTGGCTCTGACATGAAAACTTTCACTGTGTTGTGAACATCACCAGGTATAACATCTTCCACTGTACGCTCAATTTGCGTTTGGTTACGACCAAGGATGAGTTTTGTGCCCTTGATATCACCTCCAACAATCTTATCTTTTTCTGTTGTATTAATTGGAGTCTCATCAGGTCCTAAATGGAGCTGTTTGAGATAGTCGAGAGACCCAGATTCAATGCATGTGGAGTAAAAGTTAACATTACCCTTTTCAACATCATCTACCTTTATTTTCACTGCTTCATCCGACTTGTCTGAGCTGGACAGTTTTTGAAGAGCAGTCTTTATATCCCCTCTTACAATGTCCTCTTTTTCTACATTAACATTCTCTTGCTTATTGAGAAGGGAATATATTGTCATCTGCACGTCTCCTTTCTCGTCCTCCTGGATGAGTATTCCATGTTTTGCTGACCCGTCCTCATTGAAAAGCTTGTTTATAGCTTCCTGAATGTCACCACGTAATACTTCCTCCCTTTCAGTACTGCTGTCTCTCTCTTGGTTTAATAGTTGCTGCACTGTTGAGCTGATATTTCCCTTCTCTTCTGATTCTATGACTATCTGCTGCTCTTTTCTTTCCTGTCTGTTCAGCAGGTTCATCATAATAGTCTGCAGGTCTCCCCTGATGATTTCCTCTCGTTGGATCTCTGGAGCATCCTTATTCATCAGCTGGTATTTTGCCATCCTAATGTCGCCAATTTCATCAGCTTCAATGAGTATTCCCTTCGACTTCACCATTTTCTGACTATAAAGTTCCTCAAGAGTTCCCTTAATGCTCTTTCCCAGGATTTCAGTCCTCTCCATTTTTGTCTCATTAAAGTTGTCAAAGGGTGTCGTCTCAAAGAGCCATGTTGTTGTCTTTACATCTGCTGTGGAAATCTCCTCTTGAGTGATGGTTGGATGCTCTTCGTCCTCATCTACCTCTTTAATGTGGTCAAGAGGGTTTTTCTCGAAGAGCCAGACTGAATTTTTAACATCTCCCTTTTCAACCTCCTCCTTTTTAACTGTTTCAATCAAATTTTCAGAGCTCATGCTTCTTATTTTGTCAATGGACTGGGTTTCAAATCTCCATTTCGCAGTCCTGACATCTCCTTTTTGTATTTCACTCACATTAACTGTTCTAACAGATTCCTGTGACAGGGCATCAGACTCAAAACGATCTTTGTTCATTCTGACATTGCCTCCTTGAATATCATCCACAGTTTTTATTAAAGCCTTCTTTTCTTCAGCAATCCTGTCAAGAGGTTGTGTCTCAAATTTCCACTTGGCAGAGGTGACATCTCCTTTTTGCTCATCCTGTTGTGTGACAGATTTAATTATATAAACCTCATCTGTGTCTTTGATAGCGTCAAGTGGCTTGGTTTCAAACAGCCACCGAGTTCCAACGACATCTCCTCGTGTTACTTCTTCACTTGTGACAGTGGTGACCTCGTGGTAAAGTCCTTCTTTGTCCTGAATGGCATATAGGGGCTGGTTTTCAAACATCATAGTGTAATTTCTAACATCACCCTTCTCATCTTCATCACGGACAATTTTTTGCATTTTCATCAGCTCTGTGTCTGTCTCTGAGGATGTCTCCTGAATTTTATCTAAGGAGTAGGTCTCAAAAATGAAACGGCCTTTATCAACATCTCCTCCTTGTACGTCATTCACTGTGCGGCTGCTCATAGATTCCTCTTGGGTATCATGTATTGTATCTATTGATTGGTTTTCAAAGCGCCATTTGCAGTTCACCACATTTCCTTTTTGTATGTCCTCAGTCTGAGCTCTCCTGAGCGTTTGCATTACTTCCTCAGAAGTTGAAGTCATGATATCGCATGTTTGGTTTTCAAAAATATATTTCTTCCCTGACACATCTCCAGATGCAATGTCTATCTCAGTGACACGTTTAAAAGAGCCCGTCTCCTCCCCAGTGAGGTTCTCCAGTTTCTCTGTCTCAAAGAGAAAACAAGCTGTTCTTACATCTTTTCCTCTAATGTCTTCTTGATTCACAGTGCATGCTTTCAGAACAGTCTCTGTCTCATCATGGATAGTATCAAGTGCTTGTGTCTCAAAAAGCCATGTGCAGGTTTTAACGTCTCCCTTTTGCATTTCTTCAGATTCATTTTCACCCTTTAACTCCACTCTTTCATACAAGATGTCCATTGGCTTTGTCTCAAATAGCCACTTGCAGGTTTTCACATCACCCCTCATGGTGTCAATATCTTTACTCGTTACCACTTCCTCATCTTCAACATTGCTGAAGTACTTAATAGCATCAAGAGGCTGTGTTTCAAACAACCACTTTGCAGTTTTAACATCACCTGACTCTATTTCTTGTTTGGATATGCCCTTGATAATTTGGTATTTATCAATGCTTTCATCAAACTGGTCAATTGGTCGTGTTTCAAACATCCACTTGCAAGTTGTTACATCTCCTTTCACAACCTCTTCACGGCGCACTGTTTTCACCTCATGGAAGTGCCCTGAGCTGTCTTGCATGGCATACAGTGAAGTACACTCAAACAGGTTTTTATTTGATTGCACAGAACCAGATGTTACACCCTCTATGAGAATCTTTTGAGATTCATCCCTCCTGTTTAAATCTGTGCTCTCAAAGATTTGCTTGTAGTTTGAGACGTCTACTTTATCAATTTCTTCCAGGTCAATTGTTCTGAGGATGTCCTTCTTTTCCTCTCGAATCTGCTCCAGGGGTTGGCTTTCAAATCGCCATTTCTGATGTCTAACATCACCCTTTTCTTCATTAAGTGCTACTGTTTTCTTCAATTTGCCTACCTCTGCAAGCTCTTTTAGCTCCTCAGTTGGATTCGTTTCAAAATAATGTCTGGCTGATCTCACATTACCGGCAATAATTTGCTCTTTTGTCACAGGCATAGAATTTGAATCATCTTTTAAAGTATCCATTGGCTGGGTCTCAAATACCCAGCAGTTCTTGCGAACATCTGCCCTGCAGCTTGTGCCATCCTCTTGTGTGAGGTCGTCCTCAACATTCACAGTGCGAGTAACCTTTTTCTTCTCCTCTCTTATGTGCTCTAGAGGTTGACTCTCAAAGCGCCACTTTTGGTGTCTCACATCCCCTTTCGTTTCTTCATTTACTGCTGCCTTTTGAAGTTTCCCGACCTCAAGGCCAGTCTTCCTCTCTGTTCGGGGACTGCTTTCAAAAAAGTGTCTCGCCGATCTAACATTGCCCCCGATAATTTCTTCAATAGACTGGGGTCTGGCATTGGCGTCATCCTTCAGAGAATCCATTGGCTGGGTTTCAAACACTAAGCAGTGCTTCCGAACATCAGTTCCACTGATCTCTTTACTCTCAATTTTTGAGCTTTCCCACTCATTGAGAGAATTTAAAGTTTTAATCTCAAACAACCACCTGCCCCAGTCTCCCTTATTGCTGTCCTCCATGGAAAGACTACACACAAGCTTCAAAGATGTAGGTTTTCTGTTTGTCGTGTCCAGGGGTTGGGTATCGAAGAGCCAACGTGAAGCAATGGAGTTCTCCAATTCAGTTTCAATTTTACGCACAGACTTAATCTCCAGCATTTGGCTTGATTGGCCCATAATGATGCATTTAAACTGAGTGTCAAAAGTGCTTGTAACAGTTTTCACTTCTTCATGAATTTCCTCTAACACTGACCTCAGACTCAGCAGGTGGCTCTCGTCAATGGTCTCAGTGTGCCCAAGGCTTTCCATGTACTTATTGTCAATCATGTAAATGGTTGCATTTCCATCTTCCTCTGTGAACACAATCTCTTTTGTCAAATCCTCCTCCTTATGCATTTTATTCAGAGTGTCCATTGTTTGGGTTTCAAACAACCATGCCGCAGCACGGACATCTCCTTTATCAAATTTGTTGAATTTGTTTTTATATTCTGTTGAGTTGATATCGTGTGAACTCAGCTCGTCCATTGGCTTGGTTTCAAACATCCAAGCTGTACGTCTCACATCTTTTCCAAAAATGATTTCCTGTTGAGTTATTTTGTTGTTGTCATCGTCCTCATCAGGAGTTTCATCTTTAATGGTGTCCAGTGGCTTATTTTCAAACATCCAACGCATCGCCTGCACCTCCCCGGGGAGAATCTCTTCCCATTCCACATATTCTTCATCGTTCATATCATTCGGGCTACCACCATCATCCTCATACATATACTCTTGGCTCTCTAACTGGTTGTTCTCAGTTTCATTGTAATCACTGTAGTATTCTTTCTCAATATTCTTGCGAACCTCAGGATGAATGTGCTTGTAAAGACGTTTCAGCTCATACGTACTCTTCTGCTTGAAATAAGCCTCTTTGTTGAGTTGGTATTTGGAGGGGCTTGCTGGTTCTGGAGGCTCAGGTGAGTAATGGCATGCTGGAATATTTTGACTGTCTGATGGCATTTGTAGTAAGTCTGGAGGCGGGGGTGGAAGATAGTCAGAATCCTCAGCTGGTGGGGGTGGAAAGTCCTCATAATCCATCACTGCAGCCAATGTGTCATCTGTTGCCTCAGTAGCATATGCTTCATACACCTCACTAGTCACTTTGTTGTTCTGTGTCGCATTTGAGGACCACTTAGCTCGATTGATGTCACGTTCAATCTTTTTAAGGAACAAAAATTAGGGTAAATGTCTACTAATCACTTTACTGCATAAGTAGATGTAGGCCTACATTACATATCACCTTGTTGTTACATTTGCAGATAAAGAGTAAAAATTAGATAATAAAACAAGAATAATCGTACATAGCAGAACACCTGTCGGTCAAAGGTTTATAGCACTGTGTGAATAAGTTGCAGTGAATAATCACCATGATGAGTTAAAGGTATATAACCTTTACGATTTTCGTGAAATCAAACCCTGTACATAAAAAAGGCAACCCAGTTACATTTTAATGTATTTAAATTGACGGTACATAATCCTGAGGTCAGCAAAACTAAAATCTAAAAGGATTGCAACGTTCTCTTCATATTTTCAATACTTTCAAGTCTAACTCAAGTGAAAGAGAACTGCTTACCTTAATTGGTTTGTGTGGAGCAGCCTCTTCTATTGTTCTTTCAAAGCGATCCCTCAGCTCCTTTGTAGTGTACCTGGGAAACTCCTCTTCTAAAAGTCAGCACAGACATAAGTATAAAGGCAGGAATTACATTTGTGTGCAAAAAAAAATTTGTTGTGAATATGGGAGAATATTAATATGTAAACAAGATCCTACCTGTTTCATTTTGATGGTTTTCATAACTTGATTCCAAGTTATTGTCGCTGTATGACATCTATGTGTTTAAAAAGGAGAAATGGGGAAAAAGGGATATTAATGATAAAAAACAGAGAAATACAGAAATCAACCATTTTACTATGAATGCTGCACATTTTCAAATGAATATATTGTTTGTAATCTCAGCCCAAACTGTCAGAGACTACTACACAAACATTAATTACACAAATCTGATTGATTGCAATCAGTTACAGTTTTTACTCAACAAGGCAATCACAGTGTTTAGCTCATTAGCACTGCCTGCAGAAACACAGTGACAGAAAGTGTTCAGTACCATTGTTTCTTGGTTGAAATTTAGCTGCTGACTGCCTGGGACAACCTGCCTGCTGCTGCTTGACACTGTCACCTCAGAGTTTGACATTTCCTGTGAAGATGAAGACAAGGGTGGCCTGTGAAAAATGTGTGCATGCCACACGGACATACACACAGATAACTCTCTCTGACTCACCCCCCTTCTCATAGCCACAGATTTGAACTTACTCCACACCAATTTACTCCACCAGCCAAAGCTTAATAGCACACAACTGAATACCATGCAGAGAAGATGCTAGACCAGATTGCTCACTGCAGTTTCAAATGAATAATCACAGATGGAGGCGAGATGACACAGAATCTGTCAAGCTGTTCACTCACACTGTATGATAGCAAAATAAGCATACTTTTTCATTGCTTTGTTTAGTTTCTATCAGTCAATCGGAGCTGCAAAAAAACGTGTTGTGAAGGCACCCTGGAGGTTTTCATGAAAACTGTTAGAAATGTCAAGTAATGTCAGTAACTTAAACACACACTTTTCTCTGATATTGGCGCTATTAGATGTAATAATTGTTAATATTTAGCCCAAATGTGCGTATTTTTACTTGCAAAGCTCCCCATACAGTGATGCACGTAAAGCTAAATGGAAGGGTGCAAACAGGAACATGCTCCGCTCAGAAGAAATGTTATGTCGTTTCGTGCTCTTAGCATGATGGTGTTCTACATGTGTACCTGTACAGTTCTGTGATGAAAATGGAACTGGGTTACATTGTGTGATGTTGCAGTTTCTTGGGTCTCAAATTGTTTCCTCACACTGGCAAGTCCCCCAGGCAGGGAACAGACCTCCGACTCCTCCATGACCTAATGAAGCAGGAAATATCATTAGCTGCCTCCACTTCTACATGACCTGAAATCAAACTGATGCTTAATAGGGCTGCTCTGTCTGGTATGCATGCAATGCAGGCCGCTGTCAAACCTAGTGCAGCTAATGCTATGTGCAGAAACACACAGACACATAGTCACATTTTGTGTAACAGTTTCAAATGTACACAAGGAATTGTGCAAGCTCTTTCAAAAATGTTCTGCAACCTTCTCTATGTTCTGCCATGCAAGGGGAGTCTCATGTTTCTCCACTATTTATATATGTACCATATAAGCAAGACTGCTGACCCCTTCCCCAGCTGCAAAACTGCCATCACCTCCACTAATACTGCATGACAACACCAACAATAATGGTGACAATACCAGCTAAGTGCAGCTCAGTTACTGTGCAACCGTGGACCCTCTGAAGCAGCTAAAGACTAGACTGTACAACAGGGAAGCAAGCAAAACAATATAATTGACCATAGAAAGTTTGCTCCTAATTACACAAATGTTCTTTTCAATGCAGGCAGCTCTGACAGGTAGTGTGACGACATGTTGTAGTTGAAACAATACATGTCCATGCAAAAACTAGAGTACCCCGCTGGGGATGGTGTTGTCTGCTTGCTTGGAGACAGCTGCCTGGTACATGGCCTCACAGTTGGTCAGTGGGATGACCTCTGAGTCCGCAGAGTGAATCCGGTTCCTCTGGTTTATCTCTTTCGGGAAGTCCTGCCCTGGTTAAAACCTGCGCTGCCAGCAGCTATGGCACAAATAGCCAATAAACATAACCGTTACAATGCTTGTGTTATTAGGTGTCATCTATTTATTAAAAAGTAGCACACAATACCAGTGGTGTAAACACACAAAGCACTGCTAAAGGTATCAGATCCCTTTATGTTTGTGTGGCTGTTTTGTTTTTAATGCCGGATTACTACAGAGAAGGGACTTGTTTTTATGGAATAAGCCTGGTTTAATATGTTTAAGTATATGGTGGGCAAAATGTCACAAGTCTGCTATCAAATACATTTAGATTTTTTAATCAAATGTGTGAAATTTATTCAGAATGTAAATATATTTAATAAGACAACAAGACTTTAAAGGTGCTGCCATAGTGAAGATGGCGCTAAATAATGTCTCGAAATTCTGAACAGGAACATTATTTAAACCAATTACACATCTGTATCTAGACATTTAGTTACTCACAGGAGAAACAGTTGTTTTATACAGTTTTGTTTTATCGTGATGTGATGTGATTGTGCCTGGAAACATTTAGAGCCAATCCCAATTTAACAGATGGTTTGGTCTAAAATAGTCCATCTTTGTGTCAGTGATGTACTTGGATTAACAATGAGGGTCATTACTTACATTAAAATGTCTGTGTCTTTAAATCATTGTGTTACCACTGATATTTCATCAATAAAGGCATTGCTTGTAGACTGTACTGCCAATAAACATAACAATGTACCATGGGGTTTAGGTGATCATCCAGGAAATGGGTTTAGTAGTCATTAAGATTTTTTATTTTCATTTTAGGTATAATTGGACTTCATTAGAGTGTATGTCTGGAATCGACCAGCAGTCCAAAAGGAATATCATTGTTAACCTGCAGGGTATTACAATGTTCTTAAAAGACAGTTAACAAGATTATTAAATCTTCCAACTGTTAACATCCACAGACTCCACATCCAGCCAGTTGCTGACACAATATTTCTGTCTGTTTTTTTAATTCAAAGTATTCACACCTCAGTTCTTGCGGATATAAATGTGCTGATGCAAATGAGAGGATGAAATATGAATACAGACTGTTTTGATGTTGTGAAAAAGTACAGCATCATTAGACTATCCATTACTCTGAAGACTAACAGCATATTGAAAATCTTCATCTCAGTTCTGCTCTGCTCTGTGGTGAATTAGCACTGCTTGAAGCAATGTGTATATCCAGCTCATTGTAATATCAAGAATAATGTCAGCAAAAGCTGCCAGACTGGCGACATGAACTTATATTTCACATCTATAATATTATATTTGGCAGCTAAGAACAGATTTAATCACTGCACATCATTTCTCAAAGTATTGAAAACTCAATAAAGTACAGAGTCAATGAAACACCAAATCAGATCAAAACACACCAGGTTTTTTCCAGTTCCCCGAGTTGCAGATAGCTAAAAGTAATGTGGGCTCATGAATTTAAAATTGTAACCCATTAATGCTGCTCCCTAAATTCTAAGGCAAAAAGACACTTTATAACAACTATTGCCAACTATTGTTGTTAGCTGCTTTTTATTAGCATATTTATGTGGCCATTTTTGATTTGTAGCTTACCATTCCTCTCAGGTGATCTATTTTAGCTTTGGAGGAATAGTGGGCATGTGTAAACCAATTAGTCCATTAAGACAAATAAGGGGCATTATATTACACAACCCTTAAAATGTACAGTAGGCTCTTTTAGTTTAGTTCTGATTTTAGTTGGGAAACTTTATCAGCGGCAAACTGCAGCATATCCCAGTTTAGGTCATTGACTCATAGACTTTAAATTATTGTTGTAAGAACTAAAATTTGTAGCCAAAAAAAATCTGTCAACAGTTCGAGGCTATCTCATGACACGTTAGGTTGGGCTGAGAGCTCAAATAACAAGAAAGTGAAGTAATCTAGGCGCCATGTACTTGCAAAAATAAATCAAGCCTATTTTAAACTTAACCATGAAGGGTCGTGTTTCTCAGTGAAATATAGAGGAAAGCTGGCAGGTCAAGGCTTTCCAATCCAAAAGCTTCTAGATAGCCTGCATTGATAACCTTGTGTTTGGGCCTTTTTTTTAATTACTCTTCAGTATTCCTCATTTCATGGCTTGCCTGGTGACGAGGAAATAGAGCGACGTAACACCGAGAGGTACTAGCCTTGGTGCAAACAGAACAGAACTCCATATATTTGGAATTAGTTAAGAGAATAAATCTAATTCTCCTCAAGCTAAAAATCCTGAGTTAATTTAATATTTTAATCACAGTTTATTTTCCAGGAGGTTTAACATTTGGTTTCCATTTTGCCTCTGTATCCAGTATTTTGAGTGGAAGTTCACTCAGCATGAGGACAATGAATTTCAACAATCAAGAATTCAGTGCTAGCCTTTCATGTTTTTCTCTGCACATATCAAAAAGAGATTTTATAATGTATTACATGTACTGCATGCAAAATAATCAAATATATCAATCACATATTTCTACATAATTCCACTCAACAGAAAGACAAACACCACTCTCAGAGTGCTCATCACCTACCAGGTAAGGAGGATAATGAGTTATGAAAATATGCACTCAGCAGGTTAAAAAAAATCCCACACAAAGGCCACTGCACCCCCGGCCTGCAGGGTCTGTCCAAGCCAAAAGCAAATCCCACTCAGTGTTGGAGACCAGCTCCAGTACTATGTGTTCACCTATGTCCAACGAGCAGACAGTGACAGCTGATTTTATTTTAGACCCTCCGCCCACTCGCAAAAGATGGGCCTGCAGTGTTTTTTTTAGAGAGGCCTCCGTGCCTCCCATGTCAAGTCCCCAGAAAATCCATATGGAAATACTTCCTGTGACTCTTCTGCGGACGCTTGTGTACTAATAAATCAGGTCACCCTGGTTTCATCATCACAGCTTCCATCAGAGTGCACTGCATACTCCAGCAGCTGTTACCGCCTGTCATGATATGCCAAATTCTGCACAGAGAACAAGTACTCTGAGAATCTCTCATTTTTCACTGCTTCTGTTAATCCCTGAGCAGTGCAAAGTGTACGTCGGGCAGGTGCAAATTCAAGTGAAAGTAAATGGTGGTGAAATGTGTTGGCCATGAACTGTGCTTTGCAGTTGTTCTGAAATGGGGGCAGTGATGTAATGCTACTTGTTGAGGAGGGGAGTGTTAAGGGGACCCTAAATTTGATGAGAGACACCTCTGACTGTGGAAGAGCTAGCCAGCTCATCTTGTTTGGCCCAGCTGGAGACGGTGGCGCCAGCCTGACTCTGGTATCTCATGCAAGCAAGGCCAGTGTTTGGAGACCAGACATGCCTGCCAGGCATCTGCACAACCCTGTTCATCCACAGCATGTGTAACTCATACCTGCATTTCCATAGACCACCTGTTTTAAAGGGACACTGATTCCTGCTCGCGCCAAACCAGACAGAACTGCTGTCTTCTCGATAATTTAAAATCTAGGTTAATGTGATTCTGGCATTACTATAGAGAGTAATAATTTTCTGTAAAATCTTAACAAGAACAAGAAAGGATTATTTAAAAAATCGGAACATTTTGTGTCAGTGTTTCGAGGTCTCATGTTCTTTTCATGATGACCCTGCTTTATTCAGTTTTAAGACAGTCCTCTGTGATCCGTAGCAGAGTTAAGCCAAGCAGTGAGGAAAGGAAAGGGAAGATATTTAATTCTCTCTCTCTCTCTCTCTTGCGCTCTCTCGCTCTCTCTCTCTCTCTCTCTCTTGCTCTGTCTCTCTCTCGCTCCCTCTCACACACACACAGACACACAGACAGACACACACACACACACACACACACACACACACACACACACACACACACACACACACACACACACACACAAAGACGAAGAGCACTGCCAGCACAGGAGATAAGACGTGATTTCCATCTGCTCCTATAGTATTTTACATATTAGCAGACACTTATACACAGTGCCAAGAAGAAAAGTCCAGTCTGAGGAATATTAGAGCAAATATTTTAGTGACAGCATCTTTCAGCACTTCATCGATTGTAGGAGTCCACCTCTATTTGGAGTTCTTTTAGAGCTAATAGGTAAATCAGTATTAGTACAGTTATGTGTGCTGCAGTAAGTTCCTTTGGCTGTAAAGACCCTGTAATTATGTGGACAACAATTACTCAGTGAAGGTTTAGGAAGCCTAAACAGTGCCAGAGGCAATACATTGTACTTGTAAATGTATGACAGTGACTATTAGATTAATGTGCAGCTGTGGATAGGATAAGGATAAGAAAATGACAAGGCTGCAAACACTGCAAACACTGCTAATCAAATGTAACACTCAAATCTGAAGGTCTGCATTGTAGCCTCATAGTCATTACTTATTATTTTAGTCGAAAGTGCTGGAGTACAGGGCCAAAACAAAAAAAGTCCAAGTACCTGACCACTGCATGAACATTAGTGAAAACTGCATTCAGTATCGATCAGTACTGAATGTCTCCTACATGGTAAAAAAGTAATGGGTTTGTAATTTATAACATCAAGACAAAGCTTGCTGATGTTGTCCAGGAATGTGACAAAATAATTACAATGGAAAATAATAAAATGGAAAAAAAATATTTACAATGAATAATTTACAATGAATAGCAAAGAAAGAATAATTTACAATAAATAAAGACAGGCTGGCTTAATAAAATGCTCTTTGCTTTCTCAGTTACTTTCCTCAACATGCCCTTAAGCAAGGCACTAAACCCCTGGTTGCTCCTTCCCTGAGAAATGGCTCATCGCCAACCGACACAAGTGTTTGGTGGAGAGTGTGAATTTGTAAACCTCACTCCTCTTGCAGCTACTCGTCCAGACTGTTGCTGTAAATATCTGTGAGCTCTTTGTCACGGTGCCTGATTAAATATGAGTGAAGCCCAGAAGAGTAGCCTCTGAGCTATTTGTTATTTACTAGCTATTGTATTTACATTACAACCTTTATTTAGATTTCTAAAGAAAATACAAAGGAAACGTCACATTCACAATGGCTGATAGACACGTTTTGCCTGTGATGGCTTTACTGGAAACAAATATGCTTTAGATTTCAGAGGCAATCAGAAGATTAAATGAAAACGTTGTCACACCCTAAGGATAGCTCTAAATATCCACTAACACAATATAACAATGCAATTTAAACACAAATATTTGAAATATCATCATCTCTTATTATGATGGCTTTTAAATTATACATTCACAACAATCTTCAGCAAAAAGCACCTTCCTGGGTAAGAATTAATTATGGTTGCAATTTTTTCACACACAACTCACTGTTTAATGAATGTAAACGAATAACAATTGTTTCAGATTTTATGCTAATATTAACCTCGTATTAATTTCAATGCAAATATTCCCCTCTAAAGCTCTACAAAGTACATCAGCCATCTCAGATATGTTAATTTCTAAGCTGCTAATTAACAGCTCTGTCATCTGTATCACAAATTTAGGACAACAACAATTCTTATTAAGATCTGCAATAAAAGTGAATTACGACAGTCACTGGGCGTCTCTTCCTGCTTTATCTCCTCTCCAGTACATAACAGCTGACACATAAAGGGATTTTATATGCATTTCATCTGAACTGTATGGTTTCATCCACAACTTGGGTAACTCGGACAGCAAATATTTTGCCTTTTTTGTAAACTGTGGTGAAATATTGCCAACAGTGTTTTCCCTTTGAGCCTCTCCCCAGCTGAGGCTGGGTGTAGCTCACATAAGTAAGCACTGCATGCGGACCACAGGCAGATAGCACCATGGGGTGCATGACAATGAGCCACATCTCTGCCAGATGCCATTAGAAGTGAGGCTATGAATCACAAGGATTCTTGGATTCACACACTTACAAAGAAATGTTTTTTTTATTTTGAGGCAGATTTTGTTCCTCTTTATGCTTTAACTGGATTCACATTTAGAGTGATGAATAGGAATGTCTTAAATACCACAAAATCAGTAATTATTAACTGCCTTTACCGCAGCTAAAAGTACACAAGCATTCCCCTTTTCTTGTGATTTCTTTCACATAAACTAAATCAATTTCTTATTGCTTTGGCTTTTGATCAGCTCAAGTGGAGGAGTGTAATGAGTTATGCATGAGTGAGATGAAGAGTGTAGATCTACCATAAAGCCCAACAAGCCTAACAGATGATGTCAGGTGTGAGAGGCCAGTGATATGCTGTATTTTAAGAAGAGGTATGAAGCAGCTCCAAAGTGTCTGTACACTGTGGCGTCACATAGAGTAGCAGCGGCTTCTTTAAGCTCCACATAGTCGCTGCTCTGTGTGTGGTAGTCTCTGCTACACTTTGTGCTTTTGACCACAGGCCACCTGGTAGTACTGAAGGGAGCTACACACATGCCCAGCCAAATAGAAAGATACATGCTTACTAGCAAACAAAAATATATTTTATTAGTATTATTTTTTTAGGTTTATAAAATGAAATGGAGGGAACACAGTCTTTCAATCAACAAATTCCAGTCTTGAACAAATTGAATGAAAAGAGTGCAATTTTAGAGTACAGGGGAAAATAACGTAATGGTGTATGACGCTGATTGGAAGTTACTCTGTTACTGTAGAGAGACAAATATGAGAGGAAGCTATTTGTTCATTATCAGCAAGGCCATTATCTTTGACAGGCTAGGTCTCCTGTGGTGGTCCACAGAAAAGGCATACAATACAATACAAGATCTAATTTATACCAGGCACAAAGTACACCCACAAACTTCCCACCCTGATGGTAATAGTCCATTGTGTTTGTCCTGCAATGAAACACACAAACGCACAACTCCAAACAACTGGCATAAAACAAAATTTAAAGGTCCAGTGTGTAACATTTAGCAGGATTTACTGGCATAAATGGAATATAATATGAATGAATATGTTTTTATTTGTGTACAATCACTTAGAATGAGCTGTTTGTATTCACAGAAGCAGCAGGTCGCCTTCTACGGAGTCTACCATGTTAAACTCCCAAGTTTCTACAGGTGCCCAGAAGGAACATACCAAACACTGGCTCTAGACAAGGCCTTTTGCGAGACTGGTAGCCACCGTAGTTTCTCCTACGCTTGCTCTCATTCCCAGGTCATCAAATACAGGCAGCAGCAGTGTTCAGTTAGCTGCAAGCTGAAATGTCACCGCTAGATGCGACTAAATACTACACACTGGTCCTTTAAGTTTCTAAAACCTGTTACGTTTCTTCTTTGTCATCTTTCACTAAACTTCAGGGAAATCCAGTTGTTAAGATCTTTCAGTCACAACCACAAATGTCACCCTAATGGTGGTGCTAGAGGAAAAATCAGGGGATGACCAAAGTCATTATGGATTCATCCTCTGGGAAGCAAGAATGTCTGTAGGAAATTCTGTGCTAATCCATCCAATAGTAGACAGCAACGAGGATATACCACTTAGCTGCTAATCTGCACCACAGGGCTCATAAATAAGGCCCTGAAGGTGTTTCTCCTGCTGCTTCTTTGGAAGTCTGAAATTGAGGCAGTGCCACCCTTCTGCTTGGAACCTGCAGCGAGGAACCTTCTCACACACAGCTCAGCCCTCACATCAAAACACTTATAGGAAATGCTTAAGAGAGATACAAGAGACTAAAGCGAAAGTAGAGATCCTCTGGAGGCTGCTCCTACCGGATCAAAATATGTCTTTCCTAACTGTCTTCAAAATATCTATGCTCACTTTCAAATTGACTCTGTGATCTCATAT